TTGGAAAGCAAACAAATTAAGTATGGACTTCTTACAGAAATCAGCTGTTTAACTACAATTTAAGCAAGGTTTTTTTTCTTCTAAGTTTATCTGTTATGAAAACAGAATGTTAAAATATACGTCAGATTGTTTTTATTACACTTTCATTTCACTTTGAGCATTTATTTTGGAAAGCATTCTACACTGGCAATTTGTGGTCAAGTTGGTAACTAAGTTATCTAGGCCAAGCTGACTGCTAGATGCAAACGCAACTGCTATCGGGCAACGTACAGAGTCAAATAACTGTTTGACCAACCAACTTGCTGTCCAAAATATGTTGAGAGTGGAAACTTTTAAGTGGCATTCGCAGTTTGACTGCGCCCCCTTCCATTCAGAAATTCCGCATATTTTTATTCTTTAAGTTGTTCATTTATGAATATTTATTATCTGTGAACTTGGCATGTAGTTAATTGATGCGGTTCATAAAATCCTGAAACCTGTTGCCTCATTAACGCTAGAGCCTCGCCCTCAATAAAAAGTATTTTGGCCAGCGGGCCGAAGTTAATTACAATATTTTATGGCTGGGCATACGAAAGAAATTTAATTCCCTAACAAATTGCCGACGGTGCACAAAACGTGACAGCCAAAAGCATTAAGTATATTAAATACAAAAACACTGTGATAAAAATGCTACTAAAGTACTTAAGCGTAAACAGGAACTGAGTATTTACCGTTTACTTTAACAGGTTCAAGCAAACAGAAAGAAAGGCAAGAAAGGGACGAATAAAAACTTGGAGAGTCGGAACTCATTAAAGCAAAGCATTTAATTATGCAAAACTATTCGATGAATGTCTAATATATTCAATATTGTCGGCTACCTAAGAATTCTGTATTGGAAATGTTGTAAATTGAAAATTTGTTAAGTGAAGCAAAAGTTGCGCTTATGGTATTTTCTGATGCCACCAATCAAAAGGAAGGAAAAATGCAGAGAAGCGAGAAAGCATTTTGTTATAGCTTTTGGCGGCAAGTCTTTTACATAAGATAAGAACTAAAGTGGAGACCAGGAGATAAGGTATTTGCTTGTACTGATTTCTGGCGCTCTGCAACACACACTTTTGACCATCCGCAATCGATTCTCTTGCAACTTCGTGCCCAAGTAATATAAACAAACTTTGTCTGCAAGAACTTTGGAGTTGTGTGTTACCTTTTTGGTACCAGTGACGAAGGTATTTTGCGTAGCATACTTTTTGGATACAACAAAACAATTAAATTTCTGTAAAGTTTTGAATTACGTTTCTTTTTTTTGTCACAAAATCTCTATTTTAATTGTAAACTTTATTTTGTGTCATTTAAAAAGTTGAGCAAACAGCCTAACGCATTTCAATTGGAATTGCAAAAAAAGGCGTTAAAGTTATGGCTCCTGTGCCTCGGAATAGACACGTAACACCGTTAGTTAACGAACCTGGGCTACTTTCTATGCAAAACACTCCTCTCCAGCCAAAGTTTTATTACTTTTTTGCAAGGTCATAGCTGAAAGAACAACCTGTAAGTAAAAATCTCAAATAAATCTGGCTGAAAGCATGAGAAGTGATGGTAGGTTGCGGGCTACGGGCTACGGGCTATGGGCTACGGGCTGATGCAGAGAGAAGAGGGTCGGGGCAATTTTTGCCACATACGTTTTTGGAGGCAGACGCCCACGCGGCGCCATTTGCGCATCTCTTTGCTTGTTATTCAACAGCGCACCAAAAAAGGCTGCACATTAAACGCACACAACACACTTCAAATTTTGAAAAGTTACAAATTTTCGAAATCGATTACAAATATAGATTTTGGATACAAAACGTTTAAATGCCTGTTAATTGAATCTGTATAAAATTGATGGAGTCCGTTAGACTTTTACTTTTCATTACAACAAATTGACAGCAGCAGCAACAACAACCAATACACACACAAACACACACACTCGCTCAGAAACGCGTGTGCTGCCACCCACACTGAGTGCTGAAATTCTTCACACGGACACTTTTCAATGGCCTCAGTTTTTTTTTTGTATTTATTTTATTATTAGTAGCTCCGCTTATCAGCGCAGGACAACCAACGCACTCGCAACTCCGCCACGAACTGTTCCGTTATCCTTTAAAGTTCAAATATGGTCTGCAAATATGCTTCGTGTCATGCGCTTCGTGTGCTGAGCGAATGCCAGTTCGGCTCTCTCACGCATCCGGTAGCTACTGTCGCTCATTGTTGTTGTTGTTATTGTTCTTTCTATTTGTTATCAGTTTGATTTGATTTGGTGGCAAGAGGAAGCACTAGGAGCAGCAGTAGCAGCAGCAGCAGCGACAACCAGCCTCGCACAATTTGCCTTGACTTGTGTGAGGGTGTACTGCACGCTTCTGTTCTCCTCAAGGGTATTCAATTTCCGTGTGTGTGTGTGAGCACTCTCTCATTCTCTCTGTCTCTCCCTCTCACTCTGTTTTGCTGTCTCTTTCAGTGGAACTCACCACACTTGTGCTCCTGTTGCTGACTACATGCTGCTCGGCTCTCTGTTGTGTTATTTGTTGCTGTGCCACGCGTAGGCAGACACCTGTAGTGTCTGCGCCTGCTAGCAAAAAGCTTTATTTTTGTTTTGGTTGCAGGCTGAGGCAGTGTTGCCACACTGTTGCGCAACATAGCTAACAGGTTTTAATTTTTAACTTTAATTGTCCAAATAGCTTAGAGTAAATAGAGAGTAGAATGGAGAGTGGTAAATATATTGCGCAGAATAAATTGCTTGTAGTTTTTTTATACTGATATTATTATGTCCTTGAGGCAGCTGAATTTGCTCTTGAAATCTGAAAGGTGGAAAATTGAATCAACTCTTGAATTTTGTATATTAGAAACTTGATCATTGGAGGATAGATCTTGCTAGGATTATTATAGTCTCTGATTATGTTATATAATTTAAGTCATTATTATCGCTTTTATTATTACTACGCCAAATAGATACCCCAATCTGTAAATCGGACCTGAACGCTCATCAACTTATTGCCTTTATGATTGATTTCAATTGAATTGATATCGAATGAACTAAAACTGATTGGCAAATTGAAAATGTTGTATGTCTATTGTCTCTAACCAACTATGGCAAACCAAATAAATTAATATAATACGCATTCATGTTGCCATGTAAACGAAGTAGAAAAGCCACACTTACAATGGCAGCTAATATTGAAGGTCAACGTTGTGCTCCGGTGGTCATTGCATTTTAGCCTCAATTACTTGAACAACGGTAACCTGTTGACATTTTGTGTGTTATTCCAACTCCCCTAGCTACTGGCCACCTGTTCTCAGACTGTCTGTCTGTCTATCTGCTTGTCTGTCTGTTGGCTTGTGTCTATTCATTTGTTGGCAGTTGATACAATTTGCAACATTCTAAATGAACTGTTAAAGGTGCCCTGACATTTAGCTTGGTCACGTTGGCATTGCCAAATCACATTGGGGATATCAGGAGGGCAGAATGAAGTGGAACGGGATGTGGCCAACAGTTGACCCAATTTCCAGGTAATGTGAGGCCTGTTGCTCTTGCTGCTCCTGTTGTTGCCCCGTGGGCAAAAGTAACGGATGTGTGGCAACAATGTGTAGTGGGACACGGAAAGAAATTTTGGTTGCCAACTCAAGTCACATTTATTTGCTTGCATTTGAATTCATTACACTTTTCATTATCACAATTAATTTAGTCAGTTGAATAAATTCATTAACATTTTTTGCTTACTAAAAATAATTATTTAATCGGCTTAAAAATATTTTATTAATTTCCAGATAGCTTTTAAAATGTGGACACTTTAATTGTTCAGTTTGCTTGCGCTCTCAATTCGAAGTTCTTCATATACTTTATTTAGTTCTCTGAGTAAACGATATAAGCTGGTTTCGATGCCATTTCCAACAGATATTAAATTGAAGAAGAACTGAAAATTCAACAAAATTTCTCACTGTGTAGTCTGCCGCTCCGCTCGACAAGTGACCTTTGCTGACGCAGCCCCTATTGATTTATGGCATTTATGGTCTTCGGAGGTGGAGCTGACACATCACAAACTGGCTCCATCGCCTCAATTACTGGACTGTAACATAAACCCCACTTTGTCTCGCTCGAAAAATTAAGCAATAGCAACAAATACACCCACTCCAATCAATTTGATTTGACACGCTTTTATGAGAAAGAAAATTTAATTGAGTGCTCACACACGTATATTGATTGAGTAACCAAATGCAATATTCAAACACTGCTGCATATATGCATGTATACGCCAGAGTGGTGACATTTTTCAAATGCAAGTGAATTTTGCAAGCACATTTCCGTTGTGCTAAACGTGATTGAAAGCGGAAATTGCGGCATGTTCTTTCTTTTGCTTCACGTTTCGCCGCTTCCGTTTGACAGCCACAAAATGGAGCCAAAGTACATCCTACTCCATGTTGCCAGCTCCCTCTGTACTCTCTCTCTCTCTCAGTCTCCATCACTGAGTTTCTGGCTGCTTAAGCCTGAGTGACTGGCAAATCGTGTTTTTCAATTGACATTTGATAAAATTGTGTTAGAGCGTCCCCAGTCCCATCGAATATTTGCACACTTTTAAGCTACCCAACTGAAATCGCTCAAGTGTTGGACAACGCGCGCTGATGCGATTAACGGTGGCGAAAATCAGCGGCTGTCTCCTTTCATCCTGATTTGTAATACGCTTTCAAATCTGCAAAATATACTGTCTATGATTGTCAAATGTGGCATTTGATTGCATTCTTTAACGTTTTCCTATATTTTCATATAGGTCTGACGACTTATTGTTATATTTACAGCATGGCTTGTAGATTCTTTCGATCTTTGCAGTGTTGTTAAATAGGGTTGTGCTTTAACTCACACGCAATGTTTGAAATTACCAAAAACACGCTGTCAGTTAAATATTTAATAAATATATTTTATATAGATTTAAAGCCAAAATTCAAACATTTACATAACAATTTTTAAAATATTTGTGTCATTTAATGTACATTTAACATGCATTGCTTTAATTTGAAAGAGCATTTTGCATTTGATTTCAACCTTTTCTATAGTGTCTGTAAAAGTGTTGCAATAATGGTATAAATTGTGGAAAATGCATAAAAAATACAGAAAAATCGACATTAAATGTGTTACACATTATTCAATTTGAATAACGATTTGATTAGGTCAAAAGGCCCTCGCTGCGCAAAATGGAGGTCATGTCAAACTGCAGCAGGACAATCAAGTACGATGTGGCTGCACTCACAGTCTGCAAAAATACAAAACAAGAAATGAATAAAATCGAAATAGCAGTGGAAAGTCAGTTGTCAAATGCAGTTGGTTGAACTAACTTACAGAGAATATGAATGTGTAGTCGAGTGCAAAGAGTCCAATGCCATTAAACTGAAAGTAACCCTCCCAGTGAAGGAATTGCAATGTAAACGATTTCATTTTGTTGTAGAACAAATCATTGCTCAACATAAAGGCGGGTTTCTTCTGCATAATCTCGTGCACGATCATCGCCGATTGCTTTGAATGATTGTTGGTATTGCAGCAAAGACGCAACACAATGTAGGCGACAATCATTGTGGTTAGACTCCATATGACATACAAATAGGTCATATAATCCAACAGGTAACTCTTGCCGCTCACCATGAAATTCACCTTTGTCTCTAGGAATATGCCAAAAATGGTGACCACAAAACAGGCCGCCATATAGGGTACACACTGTGGCCCAAATTCGCCATTCGTTATGACGCTCAACGCGAGTATTTTGTCGTGTAGTTTAAACAGATCCGGCAAATTGGCCTCTGAGGTGTTGCTACAAATTTTTTGACAAGGAAAATGTGAGTAAAATGCAAAATATTTTTATTTTAAACCCTTGCAGAAAATGAATCAATTAATTTTGTACGTTCTGCAAGGGCGCTCAATATTCGGCATGCCGAGAAAAGCAGCTTTTTTCTGTTGTCTTTTGATTGCTTACTCGGTGTTTTCGCACACTATGGCATCGTTGTAATCAAAAATATCATCGTCGTCCTCCTCGCTGGTATTTAGCTCCTCCTCATCGTCATGCTTTGGCAATTGTGCCTTTTGTCTTTTCATTTCATCCGCTAGTTTTGGATCATTGCTGAATAAGGCTTTGGTTGCAGCTGCCTTTTCCCCCGACGTTACCTTCACCTCCTGCTTCTTGCCCTCGCTCTCAATGTCGAAGATGGTGAGGGGGGCGCGACGATTTCGAGCCTCCTTGTTAATCTTCTCGAATAGCGAATTTATTTGCTCAAAGCGATTCGAAATGACAGACACATGATAGATGAATTCCCCTTGAATAATACTGCCAGCCAAATATGGAAAGCTTGACACCATAAATGGTATTATTGCATATTCACCGAAGGTGCTGCAAGTTATGCAAGAAGGGAGGGGAGGGGAGTAGATTAACATGGTTGAGATGTCGTTTTTGTTTGATTTATGAATTTACTTAGCGATGATCGATGTCACACTTACATATAAGCTTAGAAAAATAATTTCAAAATATTATATCTTTTTATCATTTGACGATGTATTTATAATAATAATACTAAATTCTTCATTTTGATTTGTTTGCATTAAACATTTCTGTACTTTCAAGTCTGTGAAGCTTACACCAAAAATGTTGAAATTCGCTAGGATGAAACACTTTTAGGATAAATGAAAGTTATGCATTTTGCAAATGTTAAGAAGAATTCCAAATGACTGATTAATATGTAAATATATTTATATAAATATTATAAAAATATAACCCTACAAATGGCACATCATACTCACTCATACAAATGCTTGGAATCGTAGTACAGGGCAAAGACAAAAACGCTGAAGATAAATAGCCAGGTGAAATGATAGGCAACCTTATGCTTAACCACCTGGGCTCGCAACTTATCCATTTCGGCAACCCGACGGCATTTTTGAATGTAGACATCGATCTCGGCGAGATGCGCCTCAAATTCGACAAAGAACTGTTTCCGACGATAGAGACTCAGCAATGTGATGGTCACATAGAGAAAGGCGCCCAGATGCATAAAGAGATTGTTGCTCAACCGACAGACACTGTTGCAGGCATCCAGATAGGGCAGGCCATAACGTTCAAACAGATTGATGCCAAAATATGCAGCCAAATACAAACAGGGCATAATCAACATCATTGCATAGTCCAGCCCAAAGTTCGACTGTGATTGCTGACGGTTTAAGGGTATGAGGCCAATGCCCTGAAAGAAATGAAAGCAAATACGTGTATATAAAATATTTGAAATTCTTGTTCAGTTTTTTGACTGCTCACCATGGATAGCCAGTTCATAATTTGTATCATTTTGTTTATGTATGTTGCTCTCCAAACTAACTGCCTCGCTTAGCTGCACGCTCTATACTAAATTGCCCCTTCGAGTGGTGCTTCAATTTGAACCGTTATTTGTTTAGTGTGTTGTTATAATAAAAACGGTTTTATTGTGTGGATAATGCGCATACGTTCAAGATAAATATCTTTCGGAGTTGTGCGTCGTCCATTTGCTTTTAGCTTATTAAATGTGAGCCCCAAGTACACTGAGCGATAATTCGAAATGTGAACAACAGCACTCATATTTGTATAGTAATAATATTTGATGTTTTTTTCCTTTAGCAGAACACGTTAATTTCACTTTGTGGGCAACACTCGTAAAATCCTTTTTGCAACTATTTGCATTGTTTAGTCATCCATTGGGAGGCACTCGAACAATTTACCTGCAGTTGGTGGCATGCTGCGTGCCTAATCTAATATTTTCCACATATTTGCACCGTATTTTACTTGCTAATTAAACAATTATAAGTTAGAGGCGTGGCGAGGCGGCTTTCAGTCAAATTAACAACTACAGGAACTACAACAAAAGGCGCTCATGCTGCGCAGCTCTAAGAAAACCAATTAAAAGTAAAGCCCCTTGCAGCATTAAGGCCCAACACATGGATGATAAAATGCAAATTTCCCTCGAGCTGACGGATCCAAGTTCTGATAGGTTGGGGGCCGAGCCGGAGGAGTGAAGTTACTTATGATTCGAACAAGAAGGCTAAGTTGAAGGTGTTGCTTTTTGCTTTGGCATAGTTAATAATTGAGTTTGCAACTGAGGCACGCACAGCACAGCATAACAAGCACACACACAGCACACACACATGCAACGCACACACATATCGTCCAAAGCTTTCTGCTTTGTAGCTTATGTCTCAGTTCGCGCTAAGCCCGCACAAATATAAACAAGAGTGCTCTAATCGAGAGTGTCCGTCTAGAGGTTATCCTGTTACTGCTGTTACCCGACACTCCTAGGTACTTATGTTGAAAAACACAGATGTTGCAAGATGTGCGCCTTATGCAGCTTTCTATCTGAGTACCTCGCTACGAGAAATCAATTCTTGAATATTTTCTGCTTAGTTGAGTCTGATTGCTTGTACAATTTAAGTGGCATGCGATTGTTATTTCGACGCTTTTTTTTTGTAAGAAAATCACAAACCTGCACTGTAGAAAATGTAAATATAAAACATTTAATTCTGAGTACTAATATAATAAAAAAATTATGATTCATAAATTTTAATTAAGTTAAATCAAAAATTAAAAACTAATACTACATAATACCCGATTTAATCTCTTTTAGTGGGTACAACAAATACACACACACACACAAACAGTCCTACATGACAGCCTGGAATGGCACTTGGGAAATACACGCACTCACACTCACATTCAGACGCTCGCATATTTGACTAGGCAGACGCAGCTTTGTCTACTCTGCGAAAATTTGTGAATAGATTTAACTGCGCTCTTTCTCTACCCTCCTCCTTGCTGCGGTGCGGCTTTATCATTTGGGTATTTAAATTTTGATAAACCCCTCCTGTTCCCTGGACCCTGGAGCTAAGTAAGTAAATTGAGAAGCGCATTAGTTTACTGCTGGTCGTAGTTATTGTTATTGCACTGCTTTGCTTGTAATAAACATACCCCCAATCTGAAACTAGAAGAAGCGCTTTATAGCTAACCGTTTGTGAGATTTCCTGTTTTGGTTTCCCTTTTTATTTGCTCCCACTGGCGGTATCAATAAAATTGCGGTCATAAACACAAACCGCAATAGACCGCTATGCTGTTGGCACGCCCCCCGTCCTAACTGGCATCCCAAGTGGCAGCGCTTTAGTCACTCAATCAAGTGGCAAACATGTGGGGAGACGCCCCCTTTTCGTACGCATCTTGGGGCTTGTCGTAATGAGTTTGTTTGCTTTAGATTTTGCGCAAAGATTTGCCTAAACGTTTCTTTCGTTTGGCCTAAAATTACGTGCACATCCAAAGCTTTTTGGCAAAAACAGTGCAGATGGCTTGCCAAGATTCGCAGCGTGTTGATTTTACCCACGCAGCTGAAACGCTAGAAAATCAGGTGGCTGCCTTCTATGATTCTGTGCTTAGCTTGTACTTTTGGAATAATTTTCATCGTTGTATCTAATTTTTATTTAATTGTTGGTTTTTTTGATGTAACATTTTGTCAAATGTAAAATTGTCGATGGCCCTTAGTTTCTTCTGTGGTCAATAGTTTATCAAAACACAATTATTATACCCTTGCAGAAGAGGGCATTGCAAGATTTCTTCGTCTGCAGTATATGTATATATTACTGCTAAAACAATTTTTTTATTTATCTCTATTCACAAAATATGTTTTCCATTTTTAGCATCACTCACGAAAACTATTCAAATATCCATTTCCACGTACAAGCTGGAGTTATTTTGTATGAGAGCTTTAAAACTGTTAAAATGTCTTACAGCGCATTAAAGTCGAGTTTATGATAGCTTTAAGACTGTGAAAAGCTCCTACAGCGCATTAAACTCGAGTTAAAGTAGCCTAACTGGGAGTATTCACAAGTTTGGTGGGCGTTGGGACCTCTTTTGGCTGCAGACAAGTACTATTAAATAAGTTACACATTCTTCATACTAACGGCATTAGTCTCGCTAACAGTTTTCAAGCTTTAACTTGTGTGTGCGCCGGGACCTTAAGGAGTTGCCGAGGCACGTAGGATACCCTTAATGACTTTGTGCGTGTCATAATGAAATTCGACGCAATCTGAAGTGGGTATCGTACTACATACATAATTTTCTCGTCGCTTGTTGCGAAACTTGACTTGACCAAAATAATTATTTGTGCCGTTTGTTTTACTCCCTCTCTGAATGGCTTCGCTTATATAAATATTTCATTGAAAGCCATTCATAAAGGACATTGGCTCAATGCTGACAGGCGTTGGACGCCACGCCAAGCCACGTGCCCTGCCCGAGAGAGAGAGCCAAACAAACTGAGCAATTGAGCGTAAGCTGTTACAGCGAATTTCCCAAAAGCTTTTCACCACACAACTTTTCGTGTAAGCATTTTGAGTTCATTGTGTTGTTTCTGTCGATTTGGTATGCACTTTGCAACTGGCAATTTGTTGATTTTACTAAATGTCAAATGTGAAGGATAATTCTCTTTGTTACTGTGCATACTGCATTTCGAGCTGGCAGCTTTCAGCTTGTTATGTTGTAAATTCTTTAGGTCAATTAAGTTATGTCAATGTGTGAGAGCATATAAAGTTAGGTATTGAAAATGTTCAATTAAAAATTTACAAAAATGCAACAAACTTAATAGTTAACTTAAATGAATTTCAATCCTAAAAAGAGCTTATAAAATTAAATGGAGAATTAGCTAAGATGTCAAACCATGGCCAAAAATGTTTTGGTTTAGAAAATCATTGGAGTTTTCACGCAATTATGACAGCTGAAAGTTTCCAAATGGAAATTTTGGGATTGCATTTTTAAACAAGCTTTGAGCGAAAATCATGTTTTTAATTTGAATGCAGTATTAATCAAGATGCCAAATAAGGAAAATGCTTTTGAAAATCGATTCAATATCGACAATGTTAAGGGAGTAATGATAAACTTTCCCAAACCAACTTTCGAACTAAATATGGTTTTCCAAATTTGAATTCAGCAGTTGCAGATGCAAATCCAAAGACAAAATAGAATTGTACACGTTTAGCCGAGACGCATGCCGCTTGCAGCGAAATGAATTTCCAGTTGCAGCACAAAAGTATGCAACCACTTTTTGAGTTACTCAACTGAGACAAAGAAACATCATACGATCGATGACTTTTGATTGGATACGTGCACGATTAAAACAGCAAACGAAGAAAAAGAACAATAACAAAAACAAAGGCACCGTTTTGCTCGGTAGGTGTGCGCCATTTGGGATGTGTGTTGTATGTAATATTTTGTGTAGTCGTGGATTAAAAGCACATCGCAGCGGACGTCTCTGCTGCTCCGTCTGCTGTGTGTTGAACTTGTTAATAATTCAAGTGTTTTAGTGCGAGTGTGCGAGTGTGTGTGCAACTGCATTATGTCTGTGCATCATTGCATTGATGACAAACAGGACACAAAGGAAGCCCGTTTGCTGCTGCCGCCTTTTGTGCCGCGTGCGCCAGTTCAGAAAATATTCATTGATGATTTGACAATGGAGCGAAGACGCCAATGGCGTGTGCCCTGGTTCCTATTGTTGATGTGCTTTGTGCAGGTATTTCACAATCATAACGACTGCTGCAGTCGCTCCACGTTTCGCCTGTCACAGCCAGAAAGTCTGCTCAATGTGGTGTATGCGTAATGATATGAGCCAAATGTTCTATCTACATGAGCAGTCTGTGTCTGTGTGTGCCATTTTTCACTCAAACAAATTTAGTTCTGCGATTTGTTTATATATTTTCGTGGTTCAACCACTTGCGGTTAATAATTACTTTTACTTTTTGTTTATACTTCGCACATGCACCTTTGCTCGTTGTTCAGTCGGAATTTTGAATATTTATGTTCAGTATATGAAATTCGTGAGAATCGCTTTATGAATTTTATTTTTAACAGCTTATCAGTGTTTATATAGGTTTATATATTTTTGTTCGACCGCGTCAATTGATATCGATATAAATATATGCTCACTTTATGAATTTTTTTAGCGTAGCTTCTGAGGTTACTGAGTAATAGCATGAACTGGTAATCAGCATGAACAAGTTTAATATACTGATTTCACATGTCATTTTCGAATTGCCGGTTATTGACTCATTATTCTTACAAATGCATGCGGGAAATTATGAGCAATTAGTAGATAACCATTAAATAAATTGATAAGAAATTTACTTACTCTCACTTGCAGTTAGTTTTTTTTAATAATGGATATGTATTTCGAAATAGATTTTCTGTTAAGAAATATGACGACTTTTTTTTACTGATTACAGAAATGGGCAGACTAAGTATATAAATTGATTTGCGATGTATTTACATTTTTCCTATTCGTGTTAAGAAATAAACTCTAAAGTTAATTCTTCATGACGAATACCATACAGACATTGGCCGACTCGTAAATAACTTGTTGCCTTTCCAATTTATATGATGACTGCCAAGTGTTTCATGCGATGCTGTGTGTCAGCAAGTGTTGCGGTTTTCTGCACAAGTTGTACGATTTGTTACAGTTGTTGCATTCGATTTTCAACACCCACTCACTCAACTGGGGAGAAGTCGCAAAAGTGTTTCCCTGCGGTTCCCATCTTCATAATTTGACCCAATTATTAATGAGCAGTTCGAAGTCGTGCTATAATATATTTGACATATTCGCTAACTACGCACAATAATGACTAGATCGTTGTTAATTGCTTGAGCCCAGCCTCACAACACGATATTCATGCCATATTACACAATCTAAAACACAATTCCAATCACAATCGATGTGGCTCGAGTTTTATAGCCATTTTAGTCGGCGTTGTTGTTAAATGCTGCAACCGGCATTTGTCATATTTGGTGTGATGCATGTTGCACCGATTTGGTGTTGTTGTCTTCAAGATTGCGATTATTGCTGTTGTTGTCGTTGCTGCTGCTGCTGCTGCTGCTACTGTCATGTCAAGCGGCACAGCGCGTTGAGGCATCTTGGCACTCACACTTGGACATCTCACACTTGGCTGCTGAGCGAAAGTGACACATGACTTGACATAATTTTTTGTGGGTTTCTGATCGATAGCACTGTGCAACAAAGCGCACCTTGTGCTTATTAGAGTGGGGAGTACTCACAATTTTTAGATATTGTATGTTTACAAGAATAATGTTTGGAATTGTAAATTTAGCCTACAGTTTCAAGATAAACTATTAGAGTACTTTATCTTCCATACAACAAATAGCTTGATATTTGACAAAAAAATGAATAACGTGTAACTAAAAGATGAGCAATATTGTTATTATCTCTTGTAAAATAGCCAACATAACTTGACTGCTCACAGATAACTGACAACCACAATGCTGAGCATTACAGGACAGACTGCTTTGGCCACATTCTTTGTAGCGCAGTCTAATTGCCTATGTAGCGTTTAGGGTGATTTATTGTCGTTTCCACACACACATTTGCAGATCTCGCTGCATCTGATTGTCAATGACTGTATGCAACGTCGTCTCATCTACAAGCCAGAGCTGTGGCACGAATATTGGCGCTTCTTTACCTACATGCTGCTCCATGCGGATCACTGGCACCTGTGGATCAACATTTGTCTGCAGGCGAGTTAATGTTACCCACTGAACCACTTCCAACCGAGCGCCTAATGTTTTCGTTATTTTTTTTGTTTTTACTTTTTTGTTTTGTTTTCATTAGTGCTTCATTGGGGTCTGGCTGGAACTGGAGCAGGGTCATTGGCGGGTGGGTGTGGTCTATGTGGCGGGTGGCATTTGTGGTGCATTGGCCAATGCCTGGCTACAGCCGAAGCTGTCATTATTGGGCGCATCGGCAGGCGTCTATGCCCTGCTGTGCAGTCATGTGCCGCACCTGGTTTTGGTCAGTCAACTGTGGCAACATCGAATGCAACCGCAATTTAATTTTCATTTCGCTTTCGTTTTTTTTTTTTTTCTTTTCGTTATTTATTTTTATAGAACTTCTCACAATTGTCGCATCGCTTTATTCGCATTGCCGCCTTGCTGATTTTGCTGGTGAGCAATGTGGCCTACACAGCATTTCACTTTTGCATTAATCACAATCGGGATCCACGCATTAGTCTGGAGGCCCATCTAGGCGGGGGAGCGGCGGGTGTGTTAATTGGATTTCTTGTTTATCGGCGATTGTAGCATTGTGCCCTGCGTTATTTCTAACTAATTTCATAATTTATATATAGCTTAAGTTAGCCTTTAACATTTGTAATTCCACTCAAGTCGGCAGGAAAGAGAATTATAAAAATATACATTTAATATTTCTCTTGTGTGCTGTTATGTGTAAATTTTGGTCACGCAATTGACTTCAACGCGTTCTTTTAGGACGTGCATAAATTTCTATGCTAAACGAATTGCCTGGAATAAATGTTAATTTTACACACTTCGATCGGCCGTATGGTCTTATATGGTTCAGTCACATACTCAGCTAATTAGCTCTGAAAAGTGATCGTAATCATAAACAGCTTTTCTATGTCAGGTTCATTAATTATTTATTAGTGAACTGAATCATAGAGATTTTCAGATAAGTAATTTGCTTGAAATGACATATTTATCAACATTGTCATTACATACATAAGTATTTAGCTTGGAGATTGCTAAGCGTTTTTTTTATTGAATATTTATATTTAGTTATTGCTTTGCACTCGTTGAGGTTTCTCGTTACAAATTGCAATATTAATGTTTTTAATTTTATTCATAAAAAAAAAACATTTTCTAAGAGTAAAATAGTTCATTGTTATGTTTATTATATTTATGATATCTTTATTTTAAAAAATGTACCTTTATTAGTAACAATTTAGTATTAAATTTAGTATTTATATGTAATAAAATTATTATGTTGTTTTTATCATTATAGTTATTTTCAATATAAATTTGTATTTAGACTCAAATTACGAGTTAAATGCATTGAATTAAATAAAAGTTTGATTACATTTAGCTGAAGCGCATAGCTAAATCTATAATACAACTTATTCTTAAGGGAAGCTACAATTTGTGGGCTAAAACTAGCCTACGACTACATTAAAGAGCGGATAGCTTAAAAGTAACTAAGTGCTATGTGCATAAATTAAGAGCTTAGGTGGAAAGTAGGCAAATGAGAGAGATGGCTTAAATGTTAAGCACACACGCACGCCGAAGCGGAGGGGTGGATTGGAAAGTGGGAGGGGGTTGCTTAAATTAACAGTCTAATGGGCCGCATTTAACGCCCACCTCGGTGCATTTGCACTCAAGGCATTGATTGGATAACTCGACTATAATGCGACCAACGCGATACATGCGACCGTATATATTGCAGCCAGCTAATTTTAGTATGCCCGTTGGATCCATAAGGCCGTCACCAGCAGTGACGACACCACTGCTTGCACCACCCACCCTGGTGGCACCACTTGCATCTGCGATTGGTGTTGCTGCTGTTGTTGTTGTGGTTGTGCTGCTGCTGCTGCTGCTTGGCGCATGCTGATAATGGTGAAATTGCTGCAACGGTTGCTGCTGTTGCTGTTGCTGCTGTTGCGCTCTCACTTCATAGCTGGCGTCCATGAAGGGCAATTTGTCGAATGGCGACATTAAAAATGGATGCACTGTGCTGGTAGCAAGTGTTGCTGTTGCTGTTGTGCTTGTTGCTGCTGTTGTTCTTGTTGTTGCTTCTACTGTTTTTGTCGTTGATGATGTTATTAATGTAGTTGGTGGTGTACTTTTGGTTTTAGCATTTGTCTGCGCTGCGGTGGCCATTGAGCTATTTCTGTTAATGCTGTTGTTATTGTTGTTGCTGTTGCTAACGGGAGTGCGACGCGTGGCTATTTGACCTTTGTTTCTGACTGGTTTTGTTGTCATTGTCGTAGGCTGATTGCGTCGATTGCCCGATGGCTTCTGCTTTGTTTTGTTGCCCTTTTTGTGACCACGTACTGCTGGCGGCGTGGCAGTTGGTCGTTGTGTGCTTGTAGTCACTGCGGTTGCTCTTGTGGCTGCGGCTGTTGGTAATATCTTGAAGGGCGGCACTGTGCTGTTGCTGCTGCTGTCGACTGTTGGTGCTGCTGTTGCCGCCGCTAGACTGGGCAAATTCATGCCCAGCAGTTCATTCAGCAGCTCATCCAGTTTATTTATTTCACTTTTATCTATCAGCGATGTTTGTTTGGTTGTCGTTGTTATTGGTGCAGCTGCTGTTGTTGCTGCTGTTGCTTTAGAGCCGGATGATTTGCTTATGCTGTAAGTGACACTCTCGATGTGTTGTTGCAGCTGCTGTTTTTGTTGCTCTTCCTGTTGTTGTTCCTGTTGCGCTGGTGGTTTCTTGTGCTGGTGATCCTCAATGAGGGCGTCGAGATTCGGTGAGCTTTCCGTGTGTATTACATCCTTAAAGGGATCTGGTGTTGTGATTTCTGTGGTACACCAAATACAGAGAGGGTAAACTAAATAAGTTGACTATTTATAAGAAAATGTTGGGTGTTAAGGTTAATAATATCAGTTTAAATCTGTACTCTCTAAAAGTTAAAATTGGTTAACCCCCCAAAAGGAAAAGAAGAATGAGCTCACCTATTGATGCCGTATCGTTGCCATCCTGAGGTGTTGTTATATCAATCAGATGCTGTGTGACATGATAGTTATCGCCCAGCAGGACATTCGATGTCACATGATCCTGCAGCACTTCGCCATCGATGACCAACGGATCCTTGGGCATAAAGCCGCCCTCCGTTTCGGTGGGTGGTGAGAAGCCACTATTTACTGGCGGTTGCACCACTTGATCTTTGAAATCGTATTTCACATAGCCAGCGCTGCCCTCGTATTTGCCGCCCACTTGCACCACAGGCTCGGGTGCCGTTTCAACTGTCGGCACCTCCACATTGAATTTGTATTTATAGGCTGCCTGATCATTCTGGTTGTTGTTGTTGTTGTTTTTGATGCTGTTGTAGTTGTTGGTGTGTGATTGTGTTTGATCAGCGTAGGGCGAGTCAAATATGTCAATATCCATTTTATCGGAAGCCACTTGCGAGGAATGCAATCCATGTGGTTGCTGATAGTAATTTTGATGGTTGTAGTTGTCATGTGGTTGCAGCTGGGGTGCTGTATCCACCGCATCCGTGGGCAGAAACGGTATGATCTTAAGATTAGGCAAACTGGGCGGCAAGGTAGGTGCAATGTCATCGTTGTCATCCAAAGGTTCTGCTTCCAAAATAGTTGGATTCGTTTTGATGATCAGCGGTTTGGTGGTGCTTGTTATGTGAACCGTTTGGTTGCGCTTTGAGCTAGGACGGACGGTTGTTTTGGTGGTTCTTGTTGTGGGCTTCGATGTGGTTGTTGTTGTTGGTGGCTTGGTTGTTGTGGGTGATTTGCTTGTGGTTGGCGGTTTGCTTGTTGTGGTTGTTCGTCTGGTGGTTCGGCTTGGCTTCGGCTTCGCGGTTGTTGTTGTGGGCTTCGGTGTAGTTGTGCTTGTCGTAGACACCTTTTTAGTGGTGCTAACTGCTTGTATTGGCTTAGAAGTAGTTGTGGTTGTTGTTGTAGTGCTGGTGGTGCTGGGCATATTTCTGTAGGTTACTGGCTGTCCATATTTACTAGTCACCACAACCATGGGTGGTGTGACCGTTAGATTGGCTAGCTTGGAGTTAATGCGAATGTGGTGTGGTTTATTGCTGCCCAGCGGACGAAACATAGGTGGTGCATGGAAAACAATGGGCTGTCTAGTGGTGGTGGTTGTGGTTGTTGTGGTTGTTGTTGTGCTAGTTAAATTATTATCAAGCATATCGGATAGATTTTCGAATAGAACATTTAATAGACTGGGTGGTTTAGCAGTGGTGCTAGGTGATGGCCAGTTTGCCGTGTTGGAGAGAACAATTTGTTGCGCCTCCGCTGGTAGTTCACCCACAGCAATCTCGCCGTCCTCTAAATGATCATCGAAATCATCGGCAATGCGTTCTATGCTATGCTTTGTGGTGCTAACTGAGGTTGGCATTTCTGTGCTCTCATCCACAAGGGTCTCTGTGGTCACTGTGGCAATCTCCTCGTCATCGGGACCCAGCAGTATATCTACCCAGGACATGGGTTTCTTTGACGTTGTTGACTCTGGCGGGATGGTTGCCTCATTTTCCGTGCTGGGTCCCAGCAGCAAGTCTAGAAAACTCAGCTCAGTGGTGCTGCTTGCTTCAGGCGTAACTTCCGTACTAATGGAGGGCATTGCTGTTGTGCTCGATGGACGCCCCACCAAGTCCATGTTGTTGGCCAGCATTTTATTGTTGTTGCCATCGATGAACTCGAGACCTTCGCGTAAAGTATCAAAAATGCTCTTCTGGCTGCTTGCCAGAAGGGCATCGCCCACGGGCGGCTCGGTGGGATGACGATCCAGTGGATAATGCTCGGCCATTGAATTTTGTGGCATCAGCGTCGCAGCTGCTCCTGCCTCCAAGTCCTGCTCCTCCTTGCCAAACAATAGATTGTACAAATTAAATTGACGTGAGCTCTGCGAACGTCGATAATCCCGCTGACTGCCGCAATCGTAACTGGAGGGGCAACACTGACCCTTCGGCACCACCGGAATGCAATTCTTCAAAGCTGGAGCACATTTCTTGGGCGCACAGCGTCTTGTGCCGCGTATGCAGAAACATATGTCACACGGCCTGTCCGCATCCGAACGCATCTTCTGTCCCTCGGCATAGAACTGGGAGTCTACGGTGCAGCCGCGATTCCGTTGCAATCGCTGCGACATGCGCTGGAAGTGCTTATTGGAGTTCTTTCGATAGCGCACTTCCTGTGACGATTTGCCCGAAGTCTTGCTGCTGCAATCGTACCTCACCGGGCAGCAAGTGGAGTCGACAAATATCGGCTTGCAGCCGTCCACGGGCAACATGCATTTGGGCTTGACACACTTTTCACTACCCCCTGGGAAACATAGTAAGAAATGCAATTAATCAATCATTAATATTATACCCAAATAATGGTCTTACATACTGTTCTATCATTCTGTACTGTAGATAAGAAATGTATTTTGTCTCTTATGGGGACAATATATTCAATATTTTAAAATCTACTTTAATTCAAATAAAGATAACATTTTCACTTTATATAATCTTTTCATTTTATAATTAAGTTTTCTCTCCTTCATTCAGTAATATATAAAATAAGGAGCCAGTTGTTATTTTCGCTTATAAAGTGTACAAATTGCAGAGTAATTTAGTTGCATGGATTACCATGAAGTCTTAATTAGCTAGATATTAACTACATAATCTTCCACGTATACTCTATATATAATGTTCTTATTTTCAATTGCCATATATTGTTCTGGTGTTATTTAGTTTCTCCAATGATTGCTCCTAATTTATTTTGCCACTTCCAGGTCTCATTTACTGATATTACTTATTATTTCCACTTCATGCTTCGATTCCCACTAGCTGGCGCCCCCAATTGCGACACCTTCTTATTCCTCACATATAAGTTTCCATGATATTTCACTTACCAATGCAGTAGCAATAGCTGCACAGATTTGATGAGGACATTGCCGATCCCGACTTGTACACAGTTCCATTCTTTACACACACTAAAGAAAACAAACAAACAAATTAGTTAATAATTTGCATAGCGACGTCCTTTGCTTTATACTTACCAAACAATTCGACGTCCGAGTCATCTGAGCGCCTCTGTAGCATATTGTCATTGACCACCCGATCGATAGACTCTCGCTCATAGTGATCCAGATAGGCGATGATGCGTCGCTTGGTGGGTATCTTGTAGAAGGCATCCAATCGGGCACACGACAAATAGGGGCAACAGGTGTTCTTCTTTTGCACCACGACACAGCCACGTGGCGGTGGCATTGGCATCTCCGGGCAAACTTTTAATCGACAGACGAGAGTCTTTCGATTGCACTGACAGTTGAGGCATTTTTCCATGCTGGGCACCACCGATTTGTCCGCATACCAGGTGCCATTATGATGACAGCCTTTATGTTGGGTGATAGGAAAAAAATAAAATAGGAAGAGCTCAACAATATGGATTTTAAAATGCTCTAAATTTATTGAGACAAGAAATTCAAGCAGTTTCCTGCCTGAATACGCTACTGATCCACATGGTAGCGATTCATTAGCTTTTGTGGATCGGCATAATATGAAGGAAATGCGGCTCCCGATATCATCATCTCCGGTGAGGCACCATAGCGGTAAAGTTTCTTAAAATGCGGCTTCTTTGACAGCACAGCAGGCTCCAGATGCTCAAACGGCTCCAACTGCTCCAACTGCTCCTGCTCCTGGTCTTGTACAGCCTCAATACCACCCTGGGCATATTCACACTGGAGCTGCTGGTTCTGCAGCTCGGGCTGCAGGTCGTGTCGCACGCTAGATTGTATCATCATAGGCTGCTGCCACATATACGGATACACTTGATTTCCCTGTGGACTGGTGACCATTATGAAGCCCTGTGCTGGTGCCATCGATGGCATATTCAACACAGTCGTGTTTGGCACAATGCTCTGTTGTGGTATGGGCAAGTAAACGGTTGTCTGGTACGCCAACTGCTCCTGTCCCGGTTGAAGATTATACTTTTGTGCCCACATATTGAAAAGCGATGTTTTAACTCTCTTAACAAACTAACTTTTAAAATTGTATATTGTTTATATACGCGATTTCAAGCTTTAGAACGATGATGTGAACAGTACAGAGTCATGAATAGTTTTAAAATGTTTTATGGGTTTATACAATGTACATTTCTCCGAGTAAAGCCAACTGGGATACATTTTGGTATACGAGAATCTTTTAGGATTATGTTAAGTTAAATAATTTCTTTAAATTTGATTTCACCCATAATCATTTTGTTTACAAATTGACAAAGTTCAAGAGTATATGCTTAACAAAGATTTGACTATTTTTTGACTAGATACATTTTACAGCTCATTAAATTTTGAAAATTGTCAATATAATATAATATCCATTGTAAACACTCTAGTATCAGATGTCCAACGCAACTTATTATACAAAAAAAAACCACTCTCCAATTTAGTCTTTCTCTTAAACGTTGACTTAACAAAAAACTGATTCAGATTTCCGTTAAAGTTGAATAATTTCACTAATTTAAATTAAAGGGAAGTTCAGACTTAAGTGAGTTGAACTTTAACTAAACCACAAGTTTCAAAGTTTGAATGACACAAATTGAGACTAAAATAAGCAAATGTGGTTTTCTCTTCTATTTTTAACTGTTACCAATATTTTCACGCATGTTACCGTTTCGCTTTTTGGGGGCTGTGGGGGTTCGAAGCTCACCTGTATTCTGCGTGATAAATGCATCCAACTGTGCGGGCAATATAGAAATGAATGCCACCGATAATATGCTGACTAAACGCAGTGTCATCTTCGTTTCACTTCTCCTTCTTCCGCTGCTGTGGGCCGTTGCACGCATGAATAATCCAACGAGGTGGAGGAGGGGGGTGCAACAAACGTCACCGGCTCCAACTCCAACTAAACTCCGACTCGGAGTCTGAGTCTAAGTTTTAAGTTGTTTAGAGTGCGGGCTATGCTCAGTGGCTCGGCTCTTTTTCTAAGCAAAAATAGCCAACTAGTCTGGCTCCAGGTTCAGCTTCCAAGTCCAGGTCCAGCTTCGGCTACACAACTACAGCTGGGGTCGTGTCTAATACGTGAAATGTGTGTCACGCAGCGGCAACTTTCCAATGACAAGCGAATCGAAGCGTCTGCCGGCAACTGGTGGCCAGCTCATGCTCAGACATATACTGAATTCAACCAGTTGGAATTACCCGCACAATTGTTGACGTGCCATGGAGCAGCACTTAACAAATGAGCAAATGATACAGGTCGTTGTCGTAGTCGTTGTTGTTGTTGTTGTGGTTGTTGTTGCCAAAGTTCTGCCACACTTTTAATAAAGCATAATACAAAAGAAATTTGTAGTCACCGTTTGTTGTTAGCTGTAAGTCAAAACAATAGAGATACACTGTTCAAAAATTGATCTTAAGTTCATATAAATTTGAGTAATAGTTTGATTCAATGCAACATGGAATTTATTTAGTTACATTCCACTATTTGGAATTCTTCACACTCTGCATTTTGGTTGTAATCTCTTTTTTATGTCCAATCCTCACTTTCTCTCTTTCAATTTAAATTGCCCAAGAATTTTATTTATTTTACAGTGTAAGGAGAGAGGGGTTTAAGGTCAGGTGAGTGACTGCCTTTTAAAAGTACTGTATAAATATTATAATATCATAATGACTGGACAGGCACAAATACGTGTTTATATTATATGCAAACTTTGAACTGGTTGTAATGCTTGAAACCATCTTGAAACTTAGATAAACATCTGAATTTTATCATGCCCATGAATTTCATAGAAACCATAGCCGTTTCGTATGTTTATTCATACGCTTGTTTTCTCCACAGAAATGTTATTTAAGTAACGTAAATTTCGTTTAGTTTCACAATTGAGATTCGATTAAAAAATGTGTTGAATTATATATGCTATATTGGAAAATCATACGAGTTAATTCATTCTCAATTCACTTCTGACCCACACTTCTGACCCACACTTCTGACCCACACTTCTGACCCACACTTGTTAGTTTTATTATTCGTTGCTCTAATTGCAATATTTCCCACAACTTTATAGCTTTGTTTACATATATTCTCACATAAAATTCTAAGCAAATTGGTGCGCAAGGACAGAAATAGGACAGGAAAATTATGGCAAGCAGCTTCTCTTCAGCGGAAACGCTGGGAACACGCCATTAATTAAAATCGCAACTCAGTTCTTGACACGAACCGCTGCTATAAATAATATTGATCAACAAAACGACAAAAAAAATAAATTAATAAAGAAAAAAAGCTGAGAGAAAAAGAGTAAAAAGAAACTGGTACCCAGAATCAGCACACAGCATCAAGAACCACTCACACTCGGACGTGTCTCCCCTGCCAAGAGTTGCATGCGAAAAACCAAACAAACAAATAAACAAACGTGAAAAACAAACAACGCCAAAGCAAATGGCGGTCACTGCCAGTGAAAGAGCCCAAAACCAAACCAAAACCAAAACCGTCTTAACATTTCCAGAACGAAACCACACGACCACAACTGGTCAGGCTCATGCACCACAACATCCACTTTCATTAAGAACGTGATTAGCCGACAGACTCGACAAAGTTGCATGCAAATTCAAAGCATGACAGAAGGAACATCGAGCGTTTCGATTTCAGTAAACCGATATGGTATGCTCTATCTGCTCCATAGATTATCATTACTCAGAAGTGCCAAAACAAATGTAGACAGAAGTAATTAAAGAATTTAATCAGACACTATCAGGAATATTTTAATAATACCTCAGAAGCTAATAAAACTTTCAATTTACAAGAATGAGTTGCCAGAAATGGGAAGGCAGTACTCAGAATACTTGAAAAAGAATGATGAAGAAGGCTGAAAGCTAAACCAGCCTAAGAGATATTACAAGACCTCTAATAATAGAATAAATATATACTTTATGTGATGTGCATATAAGTGAAATATTCTAAATGTTACAAGCCACTTGATGTGTTTACCAGACCCACTGAAAATGACAGAAAGTGTGACATGAGCAAGAAGTTCGCTTAATTGGAGCTCCTCTGATGGCTTGGCATACGAGCAGAAACTCGGTTGATGTGCTTCGTTCTCATGACAAGTTTAAATCAAGCTATTATCGTAATGTCAAGCCCCTGAACCGGCGCTGAAACTTTCACGCTAGTAGCTAAACTTGAAAACGAGAAAAAAGAAGCAGTTTCAGTTTCACACAATAAATCACTGCAGTTGATTTTGATTTTGTCTACTGTTTTTGGGTCTTTTAATTGAATTCACTTGGCTCTCATTTGCATGCCAACAAAGCGTACTTGGCCATGAAAAGACGCCAGAATCAAACAAAATTGAGTAAGCTGGAATTTGAAGTCAGTTAAGTACGATCTTTCTGTCTCTCTCTGCTGACTTAAGAGATTGTCTGAAAAGTGAGCTGAAATAAAAATAAAGTAACGCAGCTGTTGGCCTAGGGCTAAAAGTTGGTAAATACTTAATTTGGCACTTTCTTCACGGCGGAAATTGCAGTTGGCACTGCTGGTGGATAGCTTCTTGAAAACTCTTTCGACTTAATTACAGCTCTTTAACGCAATTTGCATCCGCGCGAGATAAATCATGCTTTAAAGGAATTGTGGATTACTAGCGCGCATGGAACGCACTGCCAGATACAATTCAAATGAGTATTCAGAACGTGTGTATAAAGCTCATAAATAAATTACAGTTATTACAAACAATGCAATGCAAAGCAATACAAAACCCAAACCAAAACATCAAAGAAAGCTGTTTGTCGAGGCTGTGGGAGCAATTGTCTTTCACGGGTGTCCAAGAACTCAACTCAACATTGTAACGGGGCCAACAATTACGCCCCAACAACATAATTTTCGACAAAAGCAAGGAATACACTGTGAGAAATGCTAGACAAATTAATAAAGTAATTAATTTTTATTGTGTCTTCGAGCTTATTGCCGGGGAAAGTGGTTAATTAAGTGTCTTAAGCTCAGATTATTATTAGGTAATTAAAAGTAAAGTTTAGATTTTGCCAAAAGATTGAAGCGTCCAGCTGGGCAATTGGCGGTTTAAATTAAGAACAGTGTCATCATTTAATTATTGCATAGGGAAATCGACAGTGAGCAGGTCAATGGAAAATCTCTGGATATTAGAATAAAATGCAGAAAAAGCTGTAGAGAGTTTTAATGAGGCTGAACAACTGTGTGCGATTCTCCTCACTTTCTTTTAAAACAATTAAGAGCCAATAATTAAACTTAGCATTTTTTATATGCTTCCGAGAGCTATAATTTGCAATGCATCTTAAGATCGGCTGTATTTTATCCAAAAGTTTTTCTTATTAGCCATAAACTAGAACGATACCTACTTATTTTGATTTCTAAATAATTTCTCATGTGTAAAGTCAATTATATTATAAAGAATCTTCATCAGAATCAAACACGAATTGAGTGAGAGTAACTTCAGTTTCAAACAGTCAACTCTATGTTTTTTTCTCAGACCCACCAAAGAAATCAACCTAGTTAAATGCAGCTTAGTCAGCTGTCCCATAAACCAATTTACCAATCTACAGCAGCAGAAAAATAACAATAAGAAGAAGGAAATGGACAAACAAAGCTTCTTGTTTCGTATTTTGATATCAAAAAACTAGCAGAGCTATAAATTCTCAAGCGCGACATCAATTCCAGGCAATAAATTTGCTATTGAGCACTTGTATCTTGTATCTGACAGATACTCTTGTTGTTGTGCAGCAATCGTTTCGATTTGACTATTTGACACAGTAGCAACGCCCCACTGACAGAATTTTGTGTTTCAAGCCACTTTTTTTTTTGTAGGGGGCTGTGCTCTCTATTCCGTCTTGGACTTCAACGATGATTTGTGAAAGGCGCATACAACTGGGCTCTAATCAGCACCCAACTGGCTACTGGGCATATTGCGTTCTAACTTATAATTTGTGGCGCAAAAAAATAAAGAAAAAACTTTCACCTAGTTGCAACTTGAGTTCATATTATGTAAATCTCAGGCAAGATAATAATAGACAATGCCTAAGCCTACATTTTCACTTTTTGCAAATCGAAGTCGGACTGGAGCACTCGAGCTGGCAGCGGAAATCGAAATCAGTGAATGATCTGTGGCATAAGCATATGAATAATAAGATCTTGACTAGTCAAGAATTCTTTAGCTATTCTTTTACTTTGTTTACTTTACACCATTTCTAACTTGGCCATTTCGAATCGAGTGAAACTTGTGCCAGTTGCTATTGCTATTGTTGTTTCTGCTGTTGGCTCGTTTTTTTCTTGTTTTTTTTTTTTCATAGTGTGCCAAAACAATTTGTTGCCCACGCGTGCTCACAGTTTAGGGTAGAGTGACCATTACGAGAGCTGGTTTGTAGACACACCTGACCATAAAGTAAAAGGCCACCCAGCCCGTACATGTGTGGCTTCTTAAATTTATTCTGCGTGCAAATTAAAAAGAACAGCAACCACGACGAACTCATTTTTACCCAGTGAGCAATTTTCATGTCGAACTCAATGGATGCAACTTTTGCGTGGCTGTCTGTCTGATCGTCTGCTTCCCTTGCTTCCCTTTTAGAATGTCAGACAAATGCCAGTCATTTGTTGGCAGGCAAACATGTTTCATACAATTCACCCCGCTATTACTCTCCGCCACCAATCAATCCACACGAGTAACAGCCACAGCGGCAAACTTCGCGTCTCAAGCTATTAAAGCCTCCAGGGTTCAATAAATGGGCGTCGTTTATGCACCTCATCATCAGCGATTGCAGTGATCGCATCGCAGACTTTTGCAGCTCTTTTTCTTCTTTTTAATTGTCTTTTTTTTTCTTCTTTTTTTTGCCAAGCGGAAGTTAGGAAAAGAAATGAACGATAAACAACAAAGCAAACTGATGCAATTTCGAAGAATTTGTGCTCTCAATAAAAAAGAGTATATGAATTTTAATGTAAAATTACATCAATT